ATGGTCTGTGCTGTGGAAAGACTCACATTGCCGTGCTGGCAAGACTAGAAAGAGTAAATGGGATGAAAATGGCATTTACTTCTGTTTTAAGATGATAGGATCACTTAGCAAAACAGCAAAACAAGACAGCAAGACAGGATCCTACAGATCCTGGAGAGAAAAAAGTCCTCACTCTGGTGATTGCCACTAGAGATCAAGAAAGGATACCCACATTTTCTGGTCAAAATCAATGTGGAGAGCAGTAAGGGAAAATATCTATGATGCAAAACCATGAAGGGTTTTACTTACTTAGAAGATACCCTCTCCACGCAGCGGAAGCACAGCCACTGCCTGGTTCTGGGATACAGATTGATTTTTAGGTAGGGAGCGTTTGCAAGGTTCAAAGGGAACACGCTAAAAGGAGGTTGCTGAAGAAAGCACGTACATACATTATTGATTGTGTTAGCTGTAGAAAGACCTTTTGTGCTATCATGGACTGGAAGTGCTCTTCACATTTTGCAGTTGTAATCCTGAGTAGTCTGAGTAAACTCTTGAAAACTTGGATGAGGAAGACACTTCTTTTAGCTGTTACTGGGTGGAAACTGGAGAATGGAAGAGTATTTCTCATTTGTGTTCATACACACGCCCATAAAGGGATGAGGAGTAATGGTTTTAAATTGAAAGGGTGGATATTTAAATTAGATATTAGGAAGAAATTCTTTACTGTGAAGGGGGAACAGGTTGCCCAGAGAAGCTGTGGCTGCCCCATCCCTGGAGGGGTTCAAGGCCAGGCTGGATGGGGCTTGGAGCAACCTGGTCTGGTGGGAGGTGTCCCTGCCCAGGGCAGGGGGTGGGAACTGGATGATCTTTAAGGTCCCTTCCAACTCTAACCATTCTATGATAAACTATTACATGTAAATAAGAAATTTATTTTCATCCCCACAATTAGTGGTCATACCCTCCTCGGTAGCGGTGGTGGGGTCATCTACTTGATAAGTGGATACTGAATAAGGGCAGGGCCAGGCAAAATTTCAATCGTGCTTCCCTGTATGAGTACCCCAGAGATTGCCCCTGGGAAAAAAAAAAATCTCATTTCTCTTAGGAGGTGGTTGCAGTGAAGTAGTGTCATTTGTATTTGAGATTTTCTCAGCTGGAAGCAGCTTTATAACAAAATTAAACAAAAGATTTGCTATTGAAGTTCCACTTCATCCGAACGGGATTGCAGCATTTCCTATCCAGTCCCACTTTATGGACCAGGTCATGCCCTCAGAGCCCTGCCTACTAAGCACAGGCTTAAAGATTGTTTCTGCAGGTAGTCAGTCTCACCAGGAGCAGAGCATGACCTTGTGTCTGCAAAGGTCTCTGCAAGAGAGCTGCGGTCCCCAGGCTTCACATCCCAGCCTCTCCGCAGGAGGAGCGAAGCTCCTGCCAGTCCGGCTGCTGCTCCTCTGCAAAACTTCCCAGTACACATGCTAATTAAAGCAGCGAGGTCTGTAGCAGCAAGACTGCCACGACATGATAGTCAGGGGATAGTGTTAAAAATAGATGCACAGAAGAGCTGCCTATTAGAGAAATACAATATTGATCGAGGTATTTGCCTCATGCAGGAGTTGTTTCCCCTGCCACAAAAGCAGTAAGCAGCTGCCTAAGCAGGGAATCACAACTGGTTTCATCTGCTGCTTGGGTGCTGTGCTGCAATATGGCCTAAAACACACGCCTGGGTGAGCCCCTAACCCAGCTGTGGTTTAGGGGCTCAATGGGATGAGAGCTGCAGTCACGGCAGATCCCAAGCAAAAAGCAAAGACAGGACCACAGCAAGAGGAGCAAGGGCTGGGAAGGGGCACGTGGCCTGGCTGCTCCAGCTTGCTGGCCCTGAGAGCTTCCCACTTCGTGCCTCCTCTTTCTCCCCACACCTCATCCCCAGGTGTGAGCGTTTTCCCCCACAGACATGTTCTTCAGACAGAGCATCTCAGCCGGGCAGTGTGGAGAGCTGGGCTCTCCTCTGTGGAGAGCGTGGCAGCCGGTGCTGCTCAGGTTTGCCCGTGTCCCCCCCATCTGTAGGGATGCTGCAGTGGTCCCCTCCCCTCTGCTGTCCTCCTGGTGGGCTGGGAGAGGTCCTCAGTCAGGTGTCCTGCCAGGACCCCCTCTGCAATCCCCTGGCGCCGCCCTCAGCTCTTGCTCCCTGCCCTGATCAATGGCTTTCTAATAGAGCCACAGTTCCCCTCCCTTTGTAAATTTAAATTTTGCTCACTAGTCCTGCTGACGTCCTCCTTGGCTCCCCCTCCTCCTTCAAGCCCACTTCTCTCCAGTATAAAAGGCACAAGCCCCCCCAGCAGCTGCCCTGCTTCTGCTTGGAGCAGCGGTGACCCGAGGAGCAGCTTCGGTGCAAACAGGTGAGTGCCTCCCTCCAGCTGCTTCAGCGCTCGTCCCGGCTCGCTCTTGCTGGATTTCCATTTTTCCTTCTTTTGCTTTTCTTCTTCAGCTTATCTGCAGTGAGGTGCACAGCCGTGCTCTGCGCTCAGTAACTTCTCTCCAGTTTTTGGAGACCCCGCGGGCAGTGCTGTGTCCCCGCAGGGACCCTGCCTGCCCCTCAGCCCTGAAACGAGCCCTGGGCACCAGGCCTGGATTCACCCGGGGTCTGAGCTCCCGGGGGAATATCCAATGCTGCTTTCAGAGGGGGTTTGAGCTCCTGGAGGAGTTTCCAATGCTGCTTTCAGATGGGAAAGCCATTCCCGTTCGCGTTGGAGAGGGGGGTACGTAGCCACTGATTTTGAGTACGATGCTGTCTCGGGGTTTAAAGAGTTAATAGCACCTCATCTTCTGAGGACATCCATGGTAGGTTTAGACCTGGTGGATCTGCAGCAGAGTTTGAGTTCGGGATGCTGAGAGTTCCCCTGTGCATGGAGGGAGAGCCAGGCTGGTCTCCCAGTGCTCATGTGAGGCAGACCCATGGCAAGCTGTGACACTGCTGCTGTGCTGTCACTTTACGAGTGGCTTTAAAGTGCTGTAACTTTCTCCTCTCACATGGATGGAAGTTGCCAGATTGCTCTCACTGATGTTGCTCAGCCAAAATGTAAAGGCTCTTTCTGCTTAGGGACCAAGCAGAAGTTGACCAAGTGGCAGCTGCGCTGACTTCTGTTGAGCTCCACGAGCAGAATTATTCCCGAAACTTTTAATTGTGTCAAGTTTTGCTGAAACTAGTAAGTTTTAAAAGTTTTTGGTGGTCATTTAATGGTTGGAAATGGACGGTACACACAGAGTGACTGTAGGAGGTCTTGGTTTTTTCCATTTTCCCTTTGGAAGGAGGCTGCAGGTCTGTGGGCTAAGGCAGGTCTGGAGACCACAGACCATCTCCCAGCCCCATTGCTCCTGAAAGGCCTGAGAGTGGGTAACCAGGATTTTGTACTTATCCTTAACGCCTAGTGGCAAGGTGGAGCTGGGGTTAGAAATGCTCAGCATCATGCGGGGTCAAGTTTGTGGCATTATCTCTGCCTCAGTTTCTCCCCGTACAAACAGGGGTGGGACAATTAGGAGGAGGAAATTTAGGGAGGATTGGAAGTGCTGAGCCCTCTGATTATTTAGGGATGACGTGTTACTTACTGCAGAGCAGTGGAAGCCATGTGCTCCACAGAAATTCTAGCCAGGTCAAAGATATAAGCAAAATATTCCATAAGTATTGGCACTCTAGAAGGTGGTCGGAATGGCCGATTGGGGCACAGGACCAGCTGGTGGAGACTGGGACATGGCATTGCTTAGGAAAAAGCTTGTGATTGTGCTAAAAGCTTTTTCCTGTATTTTCATCTTTCATCAACAATGAAATCAAGGCAAGCTCTTCCTTTCTGTCACTGAGTTCCCAGAAAACACAGCAAGTAATCTGGAAAACCTGTCAGCAGCCCTGTAAACACACCAGAGAGGTTCCTCAGAACAGCTGTTTGTCTGAGTTTCAGGCTTTGCTAAACATGGAGCAACAAGAGATGTACACCAGCTGAAAGAGGAAGCAGAATTCATCCCATGTGGTTTTACATGCTAAGCTTGTTTAGTCCTGATTGTTATGAGACATTCAAGTTAGAAAAAAGTTAATTCACAGTTCTGTTGTGATTACGGGTTGAAATCACTTTCCGCTAAGCTGTCTGCTCTGTCACTGTTAGTGAGAAGGGAAAAAAAACCTTCCCTGAATGCTAGGGGTTAAGGAGCTTTTGACCTTGCATTGTAATGAAAGACACAACGCGTGCTCGCGCTCGGGAGCATCTTGCATCCAAAGATTTTCATTCCTGCCCTGTTCCTGCAGAAGCCGGATGCATTGACAGGATCAGGACATCTAACAGTGGAAATTTCCATAACTGGAAATGTTACTTTTGCATGCTGGCTGCGAGAGGGTGAGCTGATAAGGGAGGAATGTTCCCTTTCAGCAACCCTTTCTCATGCATTTAGTTGTAAAAGAGATTGTGTAAAAATGCAAACGTTAGACGTATTTTACAAGTGAAGACAGCATGATGGATGTGGCTGAAACACGCTTTGGTGGCCACTGCCCATGGTGACACAAAGTCAGCGGCAAGCTGAGGGCCAGGACTCAAGTGTCCTATGAAGCCATGCCAGGGGCTTCCACTGATGGTGAGAAAACACTCAGGTTGTGAGACTTGGCTCAGTAGATGCCTCACTGCACAGCCTTCACCTTCCAGCAGAAATACCCAAGACATCCCCGGGGTCAGTGTTTCACAGAACTTAGCCATAAAAAGGCTGTGATGGATAGGAACACGCTGTTACAATTGACACCTTCCTTCACCTTGAGAGCTCTAACTCGTATGTGTTTCCCACATTCACTTTTCTCCTCACAGCCTTCCCACCACCGCTCCATCATGTGGCATCCGATTTCGTGGACACCACGTGCCCAGTGGTCACCAAAGCACTTAAAGCTGGTCACTGTCTACGTGCTGGTGCTCTTGGTATCGCTCAGCTTTGCTTCAGGACAGAGCAGGCCATTTAAACATCAGATAGACAACAGAAGTAAGTATCAGCCTCACCTGATGTGATGTGATGGACTCTCATACGGTGACCCTGCAGTCTTTGGTGCATCGGGGGCTCAGGGTTGGGCTGTTCAGCAGCAAATCCGTGTGGTGTTTCTACGGTAAAACAGGAGAGTCTGGGGTCCTATACTTCCATTTACACTTGTAAGAGCATATACAGAACTTAATTCCTTCTCACAGCCCTTAATTAGTCAAGGGAAACAGTGTAATTTTTGATAAATACTGGAGGAGACGTACAAAAGAAAATGTGAAGCAGTATACATTCAATATTTAAGGATCAGATTTTCAGCTGTGTTCTGTAGGCCTGGGTTAGTTCACAACTACTTCTACAGAGTAATGAGAAAGAAAGAGAGGGCCAGAAGCTTCAGTTTGCTTTAGAGACACCTGCATTTCTGTCTGGAACCACGACTTGTCTGAAAGGCAAAATACATGTCATTGAAGGGTCTCCATTCAGAGATGCTGCGAGGAACCGAGGCTGGCCAGGTTAAGGGACAATACCACATGTCCCATGTAAAAGCTAACACACAGTCCGAAAGATTTTTGAGAAAAATCTTTTATCAGGAAACCTCATCTTCCCCCAAGGGGCAAAGGCTGATAATTGTACGTGGAGCAGGAGAGAGGTGGGTGCGGGGAGTAAGGACGTGGGCTCTCAGGAGCACAACTCTCCCCTTTCAGAGAGAACTAGGCGTGTGGGGACCCTCAGGTTTTAGGTACCCAGGTGAAAAAGAAATGGAATTACTTGGGTTTTGGTGGGCAGGAGGGGTGTTAACTACTGAGTGGAAAGACTTATATGATGCCTTTATGGAAAAATTCACAGCCAAAGTAGTTTATTTATTTTCTCTGTTCAAGCATCAAAATGCACAGGGAAAAAATTCTGCTGCCTTGCCCAAGACTTTCATAGAACTTGGATGACATATAATGCACTTACTTAAATTGAAATTTATTCCTGTTCCTGACATTCAACCGGCTTTAGAAGGATCTGGTATTTCCTTGGGGTGGTATCATCTCCAGTGCTTTGTAGATTTTCCCTGTTGCTATATCTTAGTCTTTTAATATAACTTCACCCCTCTCCACGCTTGGAAGAAATGGAATTACTTGGGTTTTGGTGGGCAGGAGGGGTGTTAACTACTGAGTGGAAAGACTTATATGATGCCTTTATGGAAAAATTCACAGCCAAAGTAGTTTATTTATTTTCTCTGTTCAAGCATCAAAATGCACAGGGAAAAAATTCTGCTGCCTTGCCCAAGACTTTCATAGAACTTGGATGACATATAATGCACTTACTTAAATTGAAATTTATTCCTGTTCCTGACATTCAACCGGCTTTAGAAGGATCTGGTATTTCCTTGGGGTGGTATCATCTCCAGTGCTTTGTAGATTTTCCCTGTTGCTATATCTTAGTCTTTTAATATAACTTCACCCCTCTCCACGCTTGGTCTAAAACGAAACTAGACTCTAAAAAAAAGTCAAGTATAAGTGTACTTCAGATGCATTAAAAGAAAAAAAAAACAAACAAAAAAGTCATCCATGAAAACAACTTCCGGTCTAAAACGAAACTAGACTCTAAAAAAAAGTCAAGTATAAGTGTACTTCAGATGCATTAAAAGAAAAAAAAACAAAACAAAAAAGTCATCCATGAAAACAACTTCCTAAGTGAACAAGAATTACCTTTTTATGTTTACCTCTCACGTGGGTACCCCCTCTGCAATCCAGTGGATTTGTTAGCCTGGGGAGATACCGTACCTGGTGCATACAGCAGGAATGGAAGCTGGGCAGTAGGACCTTCAGGACTTCAGCTAGGAGAAGACAGTTTAAAAGTGGTGGTACAGGGAGCTACCATGGTCTTTCTAGATGTAGGCTTCATTGTAACCTCTTCCAGGGTTTGGATCTACTTTAAAGCACGCTGTGCTCTCCAGAACTGATGAGTACTTTGGCTTACGATCACATTGCAGGTTGCAAGCCAGATGGATGAAAATTTATTTTGCATCTGAATCGTCTTCCTTTGGGCTCCATATATGGCTGGTGACCCTCAAAGGCACCAGAAAGTTGTGTGTCTGGCTGCAGCCTGTCCCCTTGTTTTTTTTTGTTTTTTTATTTATTTTCCTGGGCTACAAACGAGCCATCTAACACCCTCAAGACGTTCAGAAAATGCTGCCTTTAAGTACAATGGCAGATGCTTCACTGTCTGCTTTGAATTCCAGGTCCTGAGATCGATCCTTTTTGGTACGTGGGCCGTGGCGTTCGCCCCATCGGTCGGTTTGGGAAGAGGCAGCTGAGAAGCAGCCGCGGCAGCCTGAGGCCCGTCAGCAGGCACCTGGATTTCATCTTGAACGCTTTGTGGGAGCAAAAAGTGTCGGAGACAGAAGACAACAACTGGTGATCCCTGTTCCCCAGGCAGTGACCCAACCTCTGCTCTTTGAATTGTGCCCTGCTCTGCACCTCAGACCTCCAGTTCTGCTTTTGCCTAGCAGTCCCACGCTGCTCTTCCTTCTGCTCCTTCTGCAGGTTCCTTCAAAAAGAAACATATTCAGGGTGCAGGTAAAAGACAATGCATGGACACTAGCCCCAAGTGCAACCATAGCTTATAAAAATATTTCTTTGTCTTAACATCTTACCATTCTCCTGATGCTGTTCACTGTAATGTTAGGTTTATTGAAAAAAAAATACACAGCTTTTGTGCTGGGATTTAAACTCTGCAGTGTTAAGCGTATCATGAAGCCTTCCTGTCACGTTGCAAAGTCAGTGGCTGTTGATATGTAAAAATAAAAAGCAATGGTTGGAAGAAAGAAAAAAAGGCTCTCACTGATTTTTAACGTACCTGCGTTAATGGCACAAAATGCTGGTGCTCTGTGTGTAGTTGTTACATAGATTGTTCACATCCACTCACAGGGAGGTAGCCCTGAACTACCTCTTTATGATTCTTCCTTTACTGCTGGAGAGATACACTAATGAACAAAAAGGAGCTCCTATGAAAGATAAGTATTGTCTCCCTGCTGAAAAAAAAAACGATAAAATTGGCTAATTAAACACTTCAGAGTAGTTTTGTGCCTACTGCATGTAATCAGGCACCGTTAATCCAAAAGGGGTAAGGGTCTAAACTCACTCATTCCCTTTAAAACAATGTCATCATTTTAAGTACATTATCTGACCAAGCTGAAGTCACTTATTGAGGATCACAAGCAAGGTACCACCTACTACTTTAGTCCACATCGATAAGCCTGGGCTTGTGGCTCAATCCTCCTGTTTGCCATGGTAATTAGATTTGTTATGTTAATTTTATAAGAAGTGTTATTTACCATGTGTTTAATCTTGATTAATAACTATCACCAGCAATAACATTTGAACGCAGTTTAATCTATGGTTTCTATCCACAAACCATAGCTAACAATTTAGTTAATGGCTGAAAGTTAAATCCAGGCCATGAATCATTCCGCAAAAGACAAATTAGAATGAACCTGCATTTCTAGTTTTGCTTTGTTAGAATTTACTACTAAAATTTACAGAATCACAGAATCTTCTAGGTTGGAAGGGACCTTAAAGATCATCTTGTCCAACCGTCAACCTAACTGACAAAAATAGACACCCACAGAACAAACAAGGAGCATCATCACTAAACCATATCTCCCAGCACTACATCAACCCGTCTTTTGAACACCTCCAGGGATGGTGCCTCAACCACCTCCCTGGGCAGCACATTCCAATGGCTGATAACCCTTTTGGTGAAAAAATTTTTCCTAATATCCAGCCTGAACCTCCCCTGGCACAACTTGAGGCCATTTAGTAGTAGTTGAATTAATAGTTGCAGATAATTTAACCCTTTTTTTGTGAATGGTCCATCAGCAAGGACTGGATTTTAATTATAATATGGTAGTTACTTCTATTTATAATCCAATATATAACACCCAAAGGAGCTTAAAAGAACCCCCTCAGGGTGGAGAAAATATGCTGATAAAGAAATATTTTGGATCAGCATTCATTGCGTGTGGCTCTGGAAATACTAGACTAAGATTACTGGGAGATCACCCCATTAATTAACGTGTGCATTAACGTGTATTCCTCCCCCCAGCTGAGCCTGGTGATTCTGCAGAGCTGCAGGTCTCCTGGGCTTGCCGTGGGGACGGGTGGTTTGTGGACGGGCAGGACCCGAGCTCCGTGTGCGGCAGCCTGTTCCGCACGCTGCCGGGCCAAAGCGCACATAAATCCGAACAACAGAGAAGAACTTTGGGTTTTTCTTTATGAATCAAGTCCTTGAAAAGGCATTCTTTTCATAAATTGCTTTTACTCTTTTATAATTTCTCTTGACAATAATTCTCGGTGAGTATGCAGATAACAACAACAAGGCAAGCTTAATATTCACTCAGACTTAATCAAATAGATCATATAGTCTTCATTTTACCCATTAAAATATTTTCATTTATAAAAATTAATCTAAATATAAATATTAACACTAAAGATTGAAATCACTCGATGACAAAATAATTCTTTGTGTGCTATAACGTATGCTTTTATGATTTTTTTTTTTTAAAACAGTAAATTATATCTTTGCACATATTTGGCACAATAAACATTTGTAAAAATTCAAATGCCTTATAGCAGGTGGGATTTTTTTTTTCTTTTTTTTTTTTAATGCCTACACGGTACACATTTTTCTGTCAAAGAAGACTGGATATTTTAACATTATAACACAATAATAATTGCTTTTCATGCCTCTTAAAGAAAACAACCTATTCCAAACTTTGTTGGCTTGTTTAAATCACGCTAACAGAACAAAAGCCAAAGAGTTATTCTATTAAAATTAGTCATTTCTGTATTGATATTACATACACAAGATTAGTTATTATTTATTAGACGAATATGTAGACCAACCACCATTAATGACATTTCATAACACGCATACCTGCATAAACCGGAACCTGGGAATGTATTGTATACGTACACGAGAACAGTCAAGGAAGGAGGAGGAGACTGGATAACAAAAAAAATAAATTACTAGGCATCCTACTCTGTTTAATCTCCTTTACCAGGTTGCATATATAAATAAAATCTATTTGTTTTATATATATATTTATATATTAAACAGAGTGGGCCAAATTCTGCTCTCACATCTGTGCAAACCAATTCCAGAGAACTCGTGTGAGAGTACAAGAAGGCATAATTTCACCCAGAATGAACACATTGTGTCAGATCTTGGGCAGGTGGAAATTCCTTGAAGGGATGGAGCAATGCTTATGTATTCTAGGTGGGAAGATGGTAGTATTTATTCTGAGAGTCCCTTACATGCAGCTGGACATCAGAGTACTGACAAGCTGGATGTCAAATGTGGGTGGCAGATTTGCAACTGGCGCTGTTCTTCCAACTGTCCCATCCAACCATTCCTCACCTTCCCCCACTAAATCCAGCCTAGCCAGGAAGTTTGCCCAGTTTTGCTCATATTTGCCCAACCCTAGACATTTCATGGCCTGGTGTCCCAGGGGACTGCTTTCCTGCTGCATGACAGGCAACGCTGCTAGTGGGTGCTGGATGGGAGCACGGGGCAAGGAGCAGCTCTCCTCCTCCTCTGGTACCCACTGTCCCAGGAGACCTCACCACTCCTTAGTCCTGGGGGGACACTTCCCAGCCCATAGCACATTCCCCTCAACTCAGTCTGCATTTGGGTACCTGCTCTGCACTTTGTGTGGAAGATACGCGATTCACTGGCTTATCACCTCCTCTAACGACCTCCTGTGTGTTCTTCAGAGCAAGAAGTACCACAAATGGGCCATGTCCTCCTCAAAAAGGGTGAGAAGAACACCCTGTAAGCAGCATCTTCCCTCCTGGGCATCTGCTCAAGGCCCTTCTAGATTGGCTCACCTTTCAAAGGTCTGAAGAAATGAAAGAAGATATTTTACTATGCCTGATCCAGTTTAGAGTGGTCCACTGGTAGTGGGATGCACGTGGCACCAGTGACAGGCCCCAGCTACTATGTTGGCTACAG